AAGTGAAAATAAATTGAATTGATATAAATGTCAACTTTTTGTATGAATATCCAGAAATATTTTTTCTTCGTACATATGTACAAACATACATATGTATGTATGTATTTTTTAAATCTGAGTGAACAGCTGTTCAGATATATGTGTCGACAAAGTGAAAATAAATTGAATTGATATAAATGTCAACTTTTTGCATGAATATCCAGAAATATTCTTTCCTCGTACATATGTACAAACATACATATGTATGTATGTATGTATTGCTGCGCTCCTATTACATGCGAGAAAACTTGTGTGCCGAAATGAGTTTGAATGATTTAAATGTTTTCCATTCATTCAATCACATTCTTCCATTTAAAGGTGGACAATTTAAAACAAAATGTATATTCATAACTTACAAAATTCCAAACGCTGAGTGTTTTGTAAGTGAAGTAAAATATTCAAATGTACTGTACTCTGTTTGGCTAGAAGTTTGAATGAATTCATGCAGCCCATATACATAATATGTAGGCAATTCTTCGATATAAAGATTGCGACACAATTGTATTAATTTCGCAAGGTTAGAAGGAATAAAAAACATGTAGGCAACTTACCGCTCCTCCCAACCTTTTTACCCGAAAGCTTCTCATAAGATATACTTTAAATAAATTAAAGGAATCTTGAATATTTTTTTTTGAATTTGGTGGACGTAGTATATTATGTTCGCGCAAACTCCATTCGTTTATAATGATTTCCTGGGGTACGTGTGTATGTGTATACATATCAAAAGCACGTATGCATTGTAACGTTAATTTTAGCGTTTACCAAAATGAACCAATCGTTTCTGTTGAAACAATTCAGTTGCTTATCATTTAGATAATTATCAAAATAATTCTATTCTTGTTTTTAACGAAAAGAAACGAAATTATTTTGATAAGTTATTTTTGCGCATCAACAAAACGAAATCGATTCATATAGTTTGTTGAGCATCTCGCAGTAATGATTTATATTCGTATGATAAAGTGGACTGTATTATGTTGCGAATTGTGGTTGTGGAATAAGTTAGGCTTTTATGAAATGGAGTCGTTACTTGGTTGTGATTCGCTGTGTTGTTGATCACAGGGGGGTAGTAGAACCAGCTTGACTACAGGTCTAGTAACCTGTCCTCTTTCAGTCATGAGGTCCACTACTCTTGCCCTATTGTCTGCACCTAGATGGACGTTAACTACCCTTCCAAGCCTCCATTCGTTTGCGGGCAGGTTATCTTCTTTGATGATCACGAGGTCTCCAATTTTCATATTGGCTTGCGGGTATCTCCATTTGTTGCGTTTCTGCAATTCCGTGAGATATTCACTTTTCCACCGTTTGCAAAACGTGTGGTGTAGAGCCTTGAGCCTCTGCCATCGATTTACAATCGAGGCACGATTTTCATCAGCGTCTATTTCTGGTGCAGCTAGTATGTGTCCACCGATTAAGAAGTGGCCTGGAGTCAGTGGCTCCAGGTCTCCTGGTTGATTTGATGAGGGACTCAGGGGTCGAGAGTTGAGACAGGACTCAACTCTGCATAATAGGGTTGTAAATTCCTCAACCGTGTATTTGTGGTTGGAAGCAATTTTCGTAAAGTGGCTTTTAAAACTTTTAACTCCCGCTTCCCACAGTCCGCCCATGTGGGGAGCTGAGGCGGGAATGAAGTGCCACGAGAGCATTTGGTGAGCGTATTTCGCCAAAGTGTTATCGCGAGCGTCCTTTAAAAAGGCTTTTGTTTCGGTTCTCAAAGCTCTCGAAGCTCCCACAAAATTGGTGCCATTGTCGGAATAAATATTTTTTGGACAGCCTCGTCGTGCAATGAACCTGGCAAATGCTGCTAAGAACGACTGAGTGCTCAGGTCCGAAGTGGCTTCCAAATGGATGGCCTTTGTTGCGAAACATACAAATAGGCAGACATATCCCTTTGACATGCGACAACCTCGGCCACTATAACTTTTTATGTCAAATGGCCCTGCGAAATCGACTCCCGCATTTGTAAACGCTCGTGAAAAAGTCGTTCTTTCCTTGGGAAGAATTCCCATTAGCTGCGTTTGCGCATGTTTTCGATAGATCGTGCAGACTTTGCAGTTATGGATGGTGGACCTAATCATATTTTTTACCCTAGGTATCCAATACTGTGTTCGGATTAGGCGCAACATGAGCTGATTCTCACCATGCAGCGAGACTTTGTGGACGAACTGGACTATCAGACGAGACAGGTGGCAGTTATATGGCAGGATAACTGGGTGACGCTCGTTATAGGCGAGATCACTAGATGCTCCTAGGCGGCCACCTGTCCTCATTATACCGTCTTTATCGATAAATGGGTTAAGGGGTAGTACTTCACTCTTTGAACCTATTAATTTTTGAGATTTTAGTGCTGAATACTCCTCCAAATAATGTTTCTTCTGGCAGATGGTTATCAAGCGGTTTGTCGTTGCTTTAATTTCTTCGGCTGAAATTGAACAAGATTTCGCCTGAAATGAAGCCCTGGTTTTTGGGTGAGTTCTTTGAGAGAATCTCATTACGTAAGATAAAACCCTCAAAGCTCTCGAGAACTCAGAAAATCTTTCAATAATATCATAGTCGATATCTAGCGTTGTTGTTGCGAGTACCTGCACCCTTTTCTCTTCTATCACTGTATTATAGTCCTTTTCTTGAGTGGGCCATTTGGAGTGATCTTCTTGCAGCCAAGAAGGGCCCTCCCACCACAGCGAATTGTTTACTAATTCTTGCGCCGGAAGTCCTCTACTGGCTAAGTCTGACGGATTTGAGGTTGAATCTACATGACACCAATTTTCTTTCCCTACCTTTTCTATTATTTTGGTTACTCGATGGGCAACAAAGGTTGACCATGAGCAGGGTGGTTTCCGAATCCAGGCCAGGACAATGGTAGAATCCGTCCACATTTTTGTCGTAATATGCCCCAAATTCAGGTTATTGATAATCGAATCGAGGATTTCTGAAAGTAAAACCGCCCCACAAAGTTCTAAGCGGGGAAGCGAGATCGTTTTAACTGGTGCAACTTTAGTTTTAGATAGTAGCAGATTGGTGAAGACCTTGTCATCCTTTTCGACGCGAAGATAGAGCGAAGCCGCATATGCCTTTTCTGAGGCGTCGCAAAACCCGTGTATTTCGACTTTGGCTGTCGGTGAAAAGTATATCCAACGAGGGATACGAATCCTTTCGATGTGGCTGTAGCTTTCCTTAAAGCTTTCCCAACGGTCTAATGTGGAGGTTGATACAATTTCGTCCCACCCGGTTCCTTCTAACCAAATATTTTGCATTAAAATTTTCGCGGTAATTACAAACGGTGCGAGCCACCCTAACGGATCGAATAATTTGGCAATAGCCGATAGTATTGCCCTTTTTGTATGTCTATCTTGATTCTCAATTGGCTTGGCAGTGAAGTAAAATTTATCAGAATGGGTATTCCACCTGATGCCCAGAGCCTTAACCGTGCTGGTGTCTTCGAAGTCCAAGAAATCTTCTTTCAGCAGATAGGATTTTGGGATACCATATAATATTTCGCTGCAGTTAGAAGTCCATTTTCTCAAAGGAAAACCCGCAGATTCCAATACTGTTGTGATTTCGTCCTTAGCTTTAATAGCAGACTCAATGGTGTGACCGCCAGCTAGAACGTCGTCTACATACATATACTTTCTTAAGATGTCCGAAGCTACGGGGTGCGAATCTTCCACGTCGTTCGCTAACCGAAGCAGAGTTCGAATCGCAAGGTAAGGTGCACAATTGACACCGAAGGTCACAGTATTGAGTTCATAAAGTCTTACGGGTTCGGTTGGATTAGTTCGAAAAAATTATGCGCTGATACTTTGTTTGGTCAGGGTTTAGTAAAATTTGGCGATACATCTTTTCGATGTCGCTGTTAAAAACATACTTAAATAATCTCCACCGAAGTATTAATGTTGGCAAATCATTTTGAAGTACTGGACCAGGATAGAGCACATCATTAAGGCTCACCCCATTTGATGTCGGACACGATACATTAAAAACCACCCTTACTTTGGTGGTAGTGCTTTCGTCCTTCCTGACAGCGTGATGAGGCAAGAAGTAATTGTCACATGCATCTGCAGGAACATTCACATCGATTCGCGTCATATGACCTAATGCCTCGTATTCTGACAAAACTCGGTTATATTCTGTTTGCAGAGGTGGGTCTCTCACCAACCGCTTTTCTATCCTAAAGAACTGTGAGCAAGCGATTTTTAGAGAGGGTCCTAATTTGACGTCTTTTGGGAAGTCCTGCTTAAATGGCAGTGACACTATGTATTTGCCTTCACCGTTTCGCTTTGTTGTGCTTTTATAAAGTTCTTGGCAATAAGCGTCCTCTTTATTATAAGTTGTGCTCTTTGGGATATCTTCTAACTCCCAAAACGAGGCTAGGCGTTTGTCTAGTGTAACCTCATTAAAAAAAGATACACATTTATTAGTTGTAGACGTTGTTTCAGTCTGACCGGTTAGTATCCACCCGAATACTGTTTCCTGAGCAAGAAGAGTACCCAAAACGTTCTTTTGGATTCCGCTCAACATTATTTGGGCATAAATATCACCACCTAGGACAAGATCAACTTGCTCATTAATGAAGAATCTCTTGTCCGCTAAAATGAGATCTGGAAAGGCTTGGCTTGTCATGGCATCTATTTGACAAGTTGGTAGATTCCCGGTCAACTGTGGTAAAACCAGCACTGTGGTATCTATATTGATAAAAGGGTCTATCGGTGACCGCAACTGAATAAAACATGCTTCTTTTACTTGGGCTGACACGGTATTATTGATACCTGATACCTGCGCATTCATTTTTTTTGAAGGCAAGTTAATCCTACTTTGAGTCTCTCCGTTATAAATGAGCACTCTGAACCGGAATCTATTACCGCTCGTGCCGAAAAGGTAGCATTATTGAAAAATATATTGACACGCGCGGTCCCTAATAATATCCCTTTATTTGTGTTAGCGAAACAAGATTTAACATTGCTAACCGATGATTTATTTGCTCTTGCGGAATCTAATCTCAATTGAGCCTGTGCAGAAGTAGAAGCAACGCTATCCATGGGATCTGATTGGCTCTTTTGAACAGTTGAGTTCGGTGCGGCTGCCTGCATATGTAAGAGCGTGTTGTGTCTTTGGTGGCACGTGCTGCAATTATAAGAGCTGGTGCACCTCGACACAGTATGTCTTGAAGAGAGGCAGTTAACGCAACTATTATTGTTCTTTACGAGCGCTATCCTGTCAGAGATCGAAAGCTTGCGGAACTTCTGGCAGTCTTTTAATCTGTGCTCATTAGATTTGCACATTTGGCATGTAACTTTGGCCACACTTGCCTGGAAGGCGCCGAGTCTTTTCTGTGGGGTTTCAGTGGCATGCTTACTATTGGGTGGTTTCGGGGTTTTCGTATGTTTGATACCAGTTATGCCCGAGACGGTCTCAAGTGTTTGGAATCTGTTGGACAGAAATTTGTCCATATCCTCCCACTTGGATATTTCCGTCTTGTTTTCGATAGTTTGCTCCCACAAAGCTAGAGTACTTTCTGGCAATTTAGTTGAGCAGAGATAAGTAAATATTGCATCCCAGTTTGAAATATCAATTTTATGGCTTTTTAGTGATGAGATGCAATTATTTATATCTCGCTGTAATTTCTTAATCGAGACGCCGCACTCGTTCTCTATTGCCTTTAAATTAAAAAGAATTTGCAACTGGGAATTTACGAGAATACGTTTATTCTCGTACCTATCTGTTAGGTTTTTCCACGCTGTGGCAAATCCTTCGTTAGTAAGAGGACACTTCCTAACTATATCTTTGGCCTCACCCAGTGTTTTTTGGTTCAGATGGAACAGCTTTTCAACTGGAGTGAGGCGCTTGTTCAATATATATATAGCCGTAAACATATCTCGGAATGTTGGCCAAGAGAGGTAATCGCCTTTGAACACTTCCGTATCGCACGGAGGAAGGTGTATGTTGTGTTCTTGGAGCGACGTACCCTCTGTATCCTTTTCGCTCTTAACGAACTTTGCATGCAGATCTGCCATGTTTGACATGCATCGCAAATACACAGAATAAGAGCTTTTATACTTGGGTTTCACAGCAGATATTGCTTTAGCGTCTAAAGTATCAGAATTTACCAGATCTTCATATGCTACCTTTGCTTTCTTCCATAAAGTTTTCAATTCTTCTTGTTGAATGGCAAGAGTATATTTGGTGTGATCAGTTTGGGCCGTGTCGTTGTAGTCGGCCTCAAATTCTGTCACAGCATCTGCCAGGCGAATAAACTTATCCATGACTTGGTATAATTAGAAAGCTTTGAAGGATATGAGACTAAGAACTATGTTCCCGAGAAAAATTTGTAACCTTGCCACACCACAACTCAAAGAATTCCGTACACAAAATTTAAGTGGAATTTCAATTCCGTAACACACGTTTTATTTTATTAATTCAAATCTATAAATTTGCCTTGTATCTATGTATGTATGTGTACGAATGCTAATCTTTTACACTTA